TTAGGAATGAATTATAGGGCGGAGGAGATGCTCAGTGGGGAACATGCTTGCTGTGTGTGCAAGCAGGAGGACCTGCTGGGATGCTCAGCACACATGTACGATCTGGGCACAGCAGCTCATACCAGTATCCTAGAGCTGATAGGCAGACAGGAGGAACCCAGAAGCTTGCCCAGCCAGCCAGGCTAGCTGAATTGGTGAACTCCATGTTCAGTGAGAGACCCTGCCTCAAAAAACAAGAGGGAGCAGTAGAAGACATCCATCACCTGACTGACATCCTGACTGATGTTGACTTGCTACATAGATACGTGGGCACATACACCCTCACATATGAATAAACCATGCAAACATCTACATACAAGAGAATTGTAATCTTAACAGATTATCTCTTCACACTTGACATCCAAGAACAAAACAGTGGGAAGGAAGACGAGGTGTGTCTTTCCAGGTAGCAGTGCATGGGAGTTTAGCTAGTCCCACTTCCATTTTTTCATTGTGTATCTTTCCCCTCCTGTGCTTTGCATACTCCAATATGTTGTACTGCTAGACCTTCTGCACCTCCACCCACCAGATCCAAAATACACCATTCGCCAAGTCTTCTGTAAGTTCCTCCTCTCTTCCCAGGTTTCCAAGTGATGAAATACTCATTCATGTGTGAAAGCATGTTACTTACAATGCTGTTCCTATGTCCATGTTCTTACAAAGCATAATTTTAAGGCTAAGCCACTTAGCTGTATTCTTTCAAACCTGTCAATTAATATATTTCAGTGTACTCATGTATCTTTATATGCTATGTATGTGTGAACAATATTCACAAATATTTTGTGGGAAAGAGATATTACTTTCCTCCAATAATACTAGATTTGGCTCGTAATTTTATTTCATGGTGCATCTTAACAACTATAATTTTGTTGTGAAATTGATCAGTTGTGTTGACAATTTTATGTGCTTAACTTTAAAACTACAAAATATGTAAAGTTTGTATTTTCTAAAGCCAAATCTTAGAGAACACAAAGCAATAGTTAGAACCATGCAAACCCTTATCTAAAACCAATCACCCTGCAGTCCATCACTTTACAGCTTAATAACCTGGCAGGAATAGCTAGAAAGCTGTCGTCTTCAAGTCATGGACCGAACAAAGGTTCCGTACTTTTGCTTGTGTAGAGGAAATGTGCTGTTGGTCCCTGCTTGCTCTTTTCTTTTGCCTCTTCTAATTTATTTTATTTTATTGTTGTTGTTGCTGATTCTTTTTATGTTTATTCTGGGAAAACCAGAATAGGAAAAATGGACAATTTAAACAAATATTGCAGGAAAAAAGTTAAAGCTACTTTTAGGATAATGGTATCTATATACAGATGTATGTCCTATAATCTTTGCCATGTATTTATATTTTCTACTAAAATGATCATTCTGAACAAATAATTTTACCTTTATATTCCCGTTATTCCCTGTTATGTACCTGGTTAGTTCATCTCATGAATCCAGGCTTCCCAAACTAGCTGGTTTAACTGTCCAGTTTTTATTTCCTGTTGCTGTGATCAAATGTCCTGACAAGCAGCTTAGGGGAGAAAGGCTTCTTTTCAGCTCACAGTGCCAGTTTACAGTCCAGCATAGGGAGGGACCCAGCAGCTCGTCACATCTGCAGTCAAGAGAGAGTGAATCCAGGTGTTTGGACTCAGCAGTGCAGGACCCACACCCAGACAATGGCACCACCACCTTAAGTTAGTGTCATTCCACATAAATTGTTGCAGTCATGACAGTCCTCCACAGACATGCCCCAGACAGCATGATCTTGACAGTTCCTGCCCGACACTTTCGGGATTTTAATTTGCCTGTGTCTTCTGTAGTAGGTGAATCCCTATTTAATATGTGTGCCAGCAAAAGGAAGCTACAAATATCTGCTTCTCATCTCCCATCAAGAAAATTTTCATACTAACATTTATTTACATACACATTTTCAAAAGGATATTCTTCCTTAGTGATGAACAATTTTAAACTGGACATTAATAGATTCATTCCTTTGTTTTACTTTGTTTCCATTAGGTTGTTCTTTACATTGTTAATTTTTTAATAAATATAATTGCAGCTAAATCTGTATTCATTGACTTTTAGCTTAGCTTAAATTCTGAAGTAGAATTTCTAGGCTAAATGGTATGATTTTAAAAAATATTTGCATGTTGCCAAATTTCTCTTCAGAAGCGTGTCAGTGAGCCAGGTACAGTGCCTGTATACCTGTAATCCCAGCACCTAGAAGGCAGAGGCAGGGCAGGTGGCCACAGGTTCAAGGCCAGCTTGGTCTAAATATTAAGTGCTGGATCAAGCCAGTGCTCTATAGCAAGACTGTTCAAAAGCAAAGAAACAAACATAAAAACGCCATACAAACAAACAAACTAATAGGAAACCAATAAAAGTGTCACTGACTCACCCACAGCAGTGTTGATTTTTATCATATTTCAGACCCTTAACAACTTAGCCTCTGTGTGACAAGTCCACTTTCCTAACCGCAGTGACAGATCCAGAAGCCCACCATGTGTGACCATAAAGTAAGAGTTCCCAAACGAAGCCTCCATTTGATTGCTTTAGTTTTAGATGATGCCTAATGAGGGAAGGACTGGAATCCTACCCTCAACCTCCTCCTCCAGATGTGTCGGTGGAATGCAGCTGTGCAGAAACTCAGCCCTGGGGTCAGCAGAGGGATGAAAAAGCGCAACATTTCATAAAACATTTCATTACTTCCACTGTAGATGGTCAAGGTTATGCTAAAGTGGGTGTATGTCTACATGACCATAGTAACATCATAATATCATCTTACCTGTCCAGCTACATATTACTTTAATAGTTTCACTTATCATTTTTCTTGGTTGATTATGGCCTTTGTATCCAACTATGAAAATAAAATGAAAAATGATAAGATGCAGTAGGAAGTATTGTTTATGTCTGTCTTGCTTTCTCTGTGGTAGATTAGGAGGTTCTTTAGTGATGGATGTATACGCAGTGTTCACCCTGTGTAACTACAGTACTGTTAATATGGCTGTGGGACACGGGTTTTTATTTTAAAGCCTTCCTCTCAACAAAACTTTGGCCTTCTGAGGATATTCTTTTCTGATAGAGCATGCTCCAAAACTCACATGTTGCTGGGCATGGTAGTGCACGCCTTTAACCCCAGCACTCAGGAGGCAGAGGTAGACACATCTCTGTGAGTTCAAAGCCAGCCTGGTCTACACAGGACAGCCAGGGTGGTTACACAGAGAAGGCCTGTCTTAAAAAACCAAAAACAAACAAACAAATATGCTAAATGTGTGTGTGTGTGTGTGTGTGTGTGTGTGTGTGTGTGTGTGTGTGTGTGTGTGTCTGCGCGCGCCACAAATTCTTGGAATAAGAGCTATCTGGAAAGAAAGGAGTTTTATACACACAGCTATTCTACTTCAGAGTGCTTTGTAGAACATTATTGAATGATGACAGTTGTGGTGATAACTATGAGAAGGAAAACAAAATTCTTGTATTTCTTCCTCTGAGCCTAACACTCCACCCACAGCCTTCCTTATGTTTTCTCACTCTTTAAATAAGGTTGCAGAAAATTAAGAATGTTCCTCCGAGGTTATATGGTTAGTCACTAAAGCCAAAGATCAAATCCTGATGTCCTGAGGCAGTGCCGTATACTTTCCGACAGTACCATTTGGCTGTAATAAAACCATTTAGACATTTTAATCCCTCGGGGTTTTTCAATTCTGGTGTTAATGTCATTCTCGTTGATGATGCTAAATTTATATTTATTTATATGTATTTATTTTGAAGGGCTTTAACCTCCACACACTCCCTAATGTTATCATTTCCACTTAGCAGCTTTTCCCTCTCAAATTATTTAAAACAAATATTCTTCTTTGCAAATGATAATCCTAGGGCTCAGAGTAGCACAAATAATTATTCTCCAAAAGATGTTAGTGAGGTGGCAACACCGCTGGGATTCTATGCATGACTGCCTTCTACACGATTACTCTCCGTTTATTGAAGAAGACCAAAATCTAACAAATGGGAACATTGTTAGAGTGGGGTATTGTGAAAATGCAAGCAGTGATTTTCTCTCTGCCTTATTTCTCATTAAAACTGATATGAGAAACAAAATAGTTCAATGTAGTTTTAAATTTTCACACTGGACCTTATCCTTTTACATCTTGGAGAAAATGTGCAGATATTTTTGTCTCTTGACTTTTAATTCCTTCTTTTATTACGTGCTGAACAGTCCCATTATGAGGACCAAAGTAAAGCACAAACTATAACTCTCTAATTCCACGTCAAAACGATGATGTCTATATAAATTTCCCAATCCCTGCAAAACAGGCTGCTTCCTTCACGTGGTCCCAGGTTTATAGAGAGCAGCTGGAGAGCATGTTTGCAGATGTTTCGTCCCCATTCTGCCTCCTACAACTCCCCTGTAACTGGAAGAATCCCTGGTCCTGTCTTCAATTGACTCCCTGTGAGGTATTAGTCTTGCAGTGGTCCATGGTCCGCTTCCAGGTTTCAGTGATTTGTTAACTGCTTTCTGACTCTGTCTAAAAATATGAGGGAAGTAATTACAAATTAAGTAAAATGAAACAACTTTTTAAAACATAAGACTAATGAAAATATCGAGCCCTCTTAGAAAAATTAACCATTATTAAGTAAGCCTGCTTAAACTTAAATCACATGTGGCCTTCCGCACAGCCCGCTCTTAAAAAAGCCGCAAGTTTTCGTGTTTGTGTTCCTCCATGAGCATTCAGCCAGTGCCTCGGGAGCAGAAATAAACTTGAGTCTGACTTTGTGCATAGTGCCTATTGTGTTATAGTTGTCTGGATAGAGAATAGAGTATATTCCATTCTATGCTACTTGGAAATCTTAAATCCTAAAAATACATCCCTAAGATAATAAAATTGAATTGTTATATTCCTGATGTTTCATCTAAAATGCCTCTTCTGTCTTTTCCTTTTTTACTCTGTCTTCATTTTTAATGATCCACCGGCTGACAGTGTGTTTCCATCCAAAATGCAAAGCAGACAGATGGGCGTGTCAGGGAAGAACATGACCAAAAGCACGAGCATCAGTGGAGACATGTGCTCCCTCGAGAAGAATGATGGCAGCCAGTCGGACACCGCAGTGGGCACCTTGGGTACCGGTGGCAAGAAGCGACGCTCTAGCATTGGGGCCAAAATGGTAGCTATTGTTGGTCTCTCCCGGAAGAGTCGCAGTGCGTCTCAACTCAGCCAAACCGGTAGGAATTTTTACATTACTCTTGACTTCTTCCTTTTTGAGTTGTCCTTACAATATGCATTCTTTTCATGACGTTTTATCACAGTAATTGTGGATAGTGACATCATCCAGAGGAAAAGGGGAGTTTTAGGCTAGTTCATCCGTCTGAAGGTAACAACGATGTTTTTTTCAGCAATCTAGCAGCCGGTTTGAAAGTGAACTGTGGTGGCTGTTGAAAGTGGGTGTCTTTGCTCCTCAGGGGAGACTCTGACCGCGACTGCTAGGTGCTGAGGCTTTGTGAGGAGGCAGCTTTGATCCGCAGGACCCTTGCTCTCCCCTAGGTTCCTCACTGTGGCGCGTGCTGCATTATTTTTTGTTCCCAGCAATTTGCAATGGAGATGACACCTCATATTTTGTGTTTATTGCAGACAACCTAACCTTCTTTTCAGTTTGTAAGCAACATTTACCAGTACTGTCCATTTCTTCACTGAGACTTTGTTTCCTTGTTAAAACTTCAAGAACCAGTATTCTTCAGCCGCTGGGATGGAAGGATTTTTCTGCTGACAGTGAAGATATTCAAGGCTTTGCTACTTTAAATCCGATTTCTAATTACATCTGCAAAAATAAATTATATACAGCACTCCTACTCAGAAAAGCCACTGTTAGCAATTAAGAAATTTCTGAGTCAAAGCATGCCTCTTTTTCAAATGGATGTTGCTAATTAAACCCTGGTATCTTGAAAATAATAGCATATCTTCTACTTAAACAAAGGCATTTAATATGGTGTTCTTTTATACTAAAATAAATTATAGGCAACTGGATTAAATCTAATTTCTGTTTGGATGCTAGGGTTTTTGTTTTGTTTTGTTTATGAGAAATTGGAGTATATTTCTGCAACACAAAATAATTTAAGATTGTATTAATTCTTGGACCCGCCTAATCTTGGTTTTGCAAGCCATGCTTTGATAATGAAAATTGGGCCTTGTGTGATAATAACATCATATTGAAATAGTTATTTGATAATATTCTTTGAATTCTGGTTACAACTTACTTTGTAGGTTTTGTTATTGTAATTTTTGTTTGGTGTTTTAAAATACTATTTCTCATTTTTACTTAGAAACATAACTTTAATTTGCAGATACACAGATTACCTTTAAATGATTTCAAAAACAGCTAGTACTTATACATAATTGTCATGTTGATGTAACAAATGTTGGGATTTTGATTCACAGGTGATTTTGTACTTTCTAGCAATTAAAACGTTATTGCAGTTCCTTAGTTAAAACTCACAAACATCTGGGAATCTGAAATTGCTGTAAAGTAGTCTGTGTTTTAAAAAGAGTTAGAAATTCACAACAAATGAGTGAAGGAAAGGGGTGCAGAGAGCAGAGCCCTGGCCACTGAGCTGCGTTAGGACAGCCACAGGCAGTAGTCCAGTTGTTCCACTTCAGGGAAACCATGGTGACATGCTTTGGGCATCCCAAAAAGCCTTAACAAAAGACCTTAAGGAATGAAGATGCTGTGGGTGTTTAACTCAGCTGCAACATCATACATACAGTGCATACACGTTTTGAAATATCACATTCAGTTAACATGTGAACTTCTTATCTTATTTTTTACTTCAAAATGAGAAATAAGACTAAAACTTAGATAATATCTGGTATTAACTTACATATTAACTACACTTAATAAAGTCTTTGGCAAGCATTGAGCACTTACTGTGTATCAGATGTATCAAGCACAAAGGCAAGCAAAGGTCATTTATCTCAGGATTCTTGTTGTTTTTTAGAGACAGGGTTTCTCTGTGTAGTTTTGGTACCTGTCCTGGATCTCACTCTGTAGACCAGGCTGGCCTCAAATTCACAGAGATCTGCCTGGCTCTGCCTCCCCAGTGCTGGGATTAAAGGTATGCACCACCGCCACCGGGCTCAGGATTCTTAAAACATAATATGAGACAAATATTTAATACGTTGCTTCCAGCATCTGTCAGTATTGAACTAGAGTTACAGGGAAGGTCCACTGGGCAGGCAGAGGACAGCCGGCTCCCCGGTCTAGGGTTTCAGGAGGTGGTTCCCGGAGAAGATGGCCCCTGATCTACAGTACCATCCAGTGACTGGAGTGACCATGAACTAGGCTCCAGACAGAAGCCATAATGAACAAGGTCTAAAGGTGGATGTGTGCCAGAATGATTAAGCTGTTCTGTGTAATTTTAATGGAAAGTACTGGCCTGACTGCCAGGGAATAAGGCTGATAGATAAGTGAGCATGAAACTCCTATTGGAATGGAGTGAGTTGGGATGAGGTAGAGAAAGGATAATAGACTCAGGGGAGTTTTAAAGAGTGCAGTTAGTACTTAGGTGCTGACCACTGGGTAGACATGAGGAACTAAAGAGGTGGTTCAAAGCTGCCCCCAGATTCCTTGTTTGCCGCCATAGGTGGATCGCCATGCCCTTAACACATACTGTATGTAGAAGAGGGTATGTAGGCAAAGACCAGCAGGGATGAGTGATTCAGAATACCCTGACGTCATCTGTGCAAATCCCCAAGGAGAGCATCCAAAACATACTCAACCAAACATGCCTCATCTTGACATAAGCATGAGAGTTACCAAGTTTAGACTACACTAAAGCTGAAATTGTCCAAGAAGAACATAATGGATAAAAGAGCAGTCAACTGAGACAATACTCTTTGGAAGATTGATCTTTAGAGTTTGGCCCAGGAAGGAGGTCACAGAGAGGAGACCCAAAAACAAACAAAAAAAAATGATTATGAAAAAATGACAGGAGCTCTTAAGCATGCTGTGTCCAGGACTAGAATCAAGAGAGGATGGCCAGTATTTCTCCATGGCCAATGTCTTTTGTACAGTTTTTGCAAAAGTATTCCATATATACTTACACAGCATTTCTATTTCAAAATTATGGATCTTGTGAGCCCATATAGAGATTCTTTAACAATACTGACTTGGTTTCCACATATAACTAATCATAGATTATTTTTTAACCTTCACAAACATTGTGATATTGGTGGACTTAAAATTTTTAAACTTTCTTGTTGTGTAGCCCTTTCCTATGTATTAGAGAAAAGAAAATAAGACCTGTCTTCATTAATTATTCAAAAGCTCTATATCATTCAATTTTTAATCATGTTTAAAATTGGTAATTATTTCCAAATACCAACCTAGTAACAACAGAATTCAGACCATCTCTTTGTACAACTACAGAACACTCCTTATATATAGCTATAATAGATAGGTAGGTAGGTAGGTAGGTAGGTAGGTAGGTAGATAGATAGATAGATAGATAGATAGATAGATAGATAGATAGATAGATAGATGATAGATAGAGTTGTTATATGTAGCTACTGCACACACACATATTGTGAGATATATATGTGTGTCTATCTTTGTGTGTGTGTGTAAAATAGGTCCCCTTTAACTTGGCTTTTTTCGCCTAATAACCAATTGAGTCCAATTAGTGCTGCCCATGTGTTCGTGGGTGTGTGACCATCCACTGGAGCGTGGGTAACCTACCAGTGGCCACACTCTCCAAAGAAAATGACTTTCTCCAAAACTAAGGGTGGGTTCATTTCTTTGTCATGATCTCATCCTCTTATGTCTTGTTGTTACTGCTTATAAAAGAATAAAACTCATAAAAGTTATTGTTAAGGAAACAATATGTTTCCATTATTTCTTTAAAAGCAAATGGTCATATAGTATACTTTTCCATACATGCAGGTTATAAATTATTAATTTGCTAGTGAACTCTTGTGTTATTTTATATATTTTCCTATCACAAATTAAGATTGCTTGTTTGACCCTAAATTCTAATCTGTGTACCTTACTATCCATAACTTTTTTTTTTTTTTTGGTTTTTTGAGACAAGGTTTCTCTGTGTAGCTTTGGAACCTGTCCTGGATCTTGCTCTGTAGACCAGGCTGACCTCGAACTTACAGAGATCCACCTGCCTCTGCCTCCTGAGTGCTGGGATTAAAGGCATGCACCACCACTGCCTGGCTCCATAACTTTATAACATCTAAAAAGGACCTTTTGCTGACAAATGCAACATGTTTTCAGTCTATGAGGTAGTTCATAGGCACCTTTGGAGGATCATTCTGACTGCCGTCAGTGTTAATAGTAAAGAGAATAGAGAAGAGGAGGATTCAAAAGCACTACAATGCAATTAAGTGACTATATCTTAGATACTTTCTTGGCAGCAACATATGAAGATATAAAAGTTAACTCACAATTTACATTTTTTTTTACTAGAGAACACAAGGTTAAAACTTTTCCTAACATAAAATTTTAACCAGTACTTACTATATTAAAACATATGATTAGCAGGAGCAAGAGTTTATTGTTTAATTTCACACATTAAAAGCTTTATGGAGACAGACCTGCTCCAAAGTTGCTCCTCTTGATGAGTCCATGTCATCTGCAATGTGCTTTTGTAGTTAGTTCTTTTCATATCACTAGGGGAAAACTTCCTTTCAAAATAGAAATTCCTCGGGGTAAGACTTTTAATATAGGCATTACTATATTCAATTAATTGGTTATAAATTTAAGGTGTAAATAGCCAAGAGGAATTGTTCATGGGAATAATCAGTAGTTGTCTAATAACTGTAAATATGTAGGCCATAAAGAGCATGTTCCTGAGCTGAGAAACACATACAAAGAAAGGAAATCTTTTGATTTTATTCGAGTCAAGTGCTTGAAAGCTTTCCGAGTGTCTGAGTATAAACAGGAGTGCAGTTCTGAGGTCAGGCCTTTTGAAATGAATCCCCACACTCTGGCACACAGAGCTGCTCTGTGTCTTGACTCTTCTGAGTCCTGCTCTAGTTAACCGCTATGAAGACTTCCAAAGACAACTGCAGGCATCTGCTGGAAAATGAGGAAAACTGCAAACGGTAGTCTAACTGTGGGCAGTGGCGAGGAGGGATGTGCAGCACTTTCCAGTGTGTGGAAAGGGACTGGGACTCATTATCCCCGAGGGCTTGAGTACTGTTGTGCATTGTAGACTTCACAGGA